CGTCATTTAAAAATAAACTTAGGTCATGGCTAATACAAAAAGCCTTCTATAGTTTCGAAGAATTTTTGCTTCCATGATTGTTTTATGTACCTAATTCTTATTCAGTCATTTTTAATATATGTAAAGTTTTTTATTTTTTTTTAAAAATTATGACTTGTAATTCGATTACCAATAAAATATTTGTATTTGTATTTGTATAATAGTATCATCCGTCCCATTTTAGACCCACTCACCAATAAGGTGACGGATGGAACCATTATGAAATAGTATAAGTTCCAACCGTCCCCTAGTCGCAAAAGGTGGGACGGATGAAACGCTTTATTCTCATCTGTCCCCACGTGAGAATATAGTTTCATCCGTCTCACCTTTTAGTCCCACTCACCAATAAGGTGACAGATGAAAACGTTTTGAAATAAAATAAGTTCGGACCGTCCCGTCGTCGCAGAAGAACGGATGAAACTTTTTATTCTCATCTGACTCCACGTGAGGAAAGAACAGGGTGACGGTTGGGAATAATGTACATTGCTGTACTTTGAAAGCCCAGCTTGTAACCTCTTTTTGTACAATACAAGTCGTGCATTTTCACAAGAAATCGTTTTATTACTTTCAGCATTATCAACACTATAAAAATGTCTTATGAGAAGAATGTAATTGGCACGTCGAAGTTAAAGAGTATGCTTATTCCGACGTGCCAACTGCTAGGTAAGATTCGAATTCAATAAAAATTATATTTACATATGTTTTGATTGGCAATGCCATTTATTGTCTATTAGCTTTTGCCACCGACTTTGTCTGCGCGAATTTCAAAATTTAGCAAGTAGCATATACTTTCTACCAGACTATGTACAAACTATGTTTATACTTAATGTGAAAGTTTATTTTGAAAAGCATATTTGTTTTTAAAAAGTTTATGATTACAGTTTTGAAGGTAAAATTGTTTACACAGATTTGTTGTAATTCCACATCTTCATTAAATATGTTGATGCATATTTTTGTATCTTAAAGATACCCCCTTTTTACCCTTTTTGTTCGTCTACTCCATAACATCGTCTCTACCTCTTACATTCTGTACACCCACGTCACTAACAACTGTTTCAAAGAAAGTAAATAGAGTACTAACGTCAATCCTGCCCAGCGCAGTAGCGAGTTTCTCCAACAAGTCCTCCAGCAGCTGCGCCTCGTGCTGCTCGCGGCAGGGGGCGCCCAGCAGCGGCAGCAGCAGCTGCTGGCAGTCCTGCTTACTGCGCCGCACGTAGTCCTCCAGCTTTATTATCACCTGGAAAAATACAGCTACAATTATAAAGACTGAAATCAAGGACATTCTAAATACACCTGTACGAGGTTAAAAATGATATTAGGTTAATACAAAAACCTATATTAAAACTATAACAGCCTTACAAATAAACGCATTTGTAGTACAAATTTTGCTTATAATCAGTTTATTCCTAAGTTTAACTTTACACCGCGTTTATTTGTAAGGCTGTAAATCAATAATTGATGTAAAATCGCGTTTATAAATGATTTGGAATGGTTTACAACTTATCTGACAACTCACGAGTAATTTACATATTTCAGTAATACTAGCTTTCGCCCGCTACTTTGTTCGCGTAAAATTAAAAAAATAAAAGTTAGTAGCATTCATGTTTTTCCAGACTATCCTCTACATCTATACCAAATTTCATCGAGATCCATTCAACAGTTGCTACAAACATCCATCCATCCATCCATCTATACATACCCATTTAAAATAATATAACAGCTTTCTGTATACTAACTCGACTCATTTCCGCGCTTGGCTGCAAAGGGGTCTCCAGCAGTAGCGCGGCGAGCTGGCACAAAGATGACAGGATCTTCTTGCCTGTCTCATCTACATCCTCGGCGTCTACATCCAGCTGCGCCAGCGCAGTGTGAACGTGCTCTAATGTATTAGCTATACTAGCCGCCACTGTTGTGTCTGTCAGTCCCGCTGCAATGTACAATTATTATTTTATTAATATTTAAACCTCCTTTCCACTAAGCGATTATATATTCCGTGGAAATAATATAAAAGCTGAAAATCTTAAATATTCCGCAGTGGAAATAATCATTATAGAAGCTAAATATCTTAATAACGTTAAAGAAGTCATATTGCCGCACGCAGGGTAATTAATTGGTCTTCCTTAGTGTAGGTTTAGTAAGAGTATTCTACACATGGAGTCATTTTTGAGACTCTGAGTGCAGCAGTTAAGTTTAATTTTATATATAAAGTAGATATTGTAGTAACTTACTGATATGCGGCACGAGAGATTCTAGTTTTATCGAGAAGTTGTTTGTTAAAATTAAGTTCATACAAGTTTTGAATATATCTAGACAGCCCAGCGCTGTTTGCTCGTCGAAGTCGCATAAGTCTTGAAACCTGGAAAAGATAATGATACCGAAATTCAATAGGTTTAAAGGTTAGTTTTTCTAATTAATAAAAAAAAACTATTAAAATATTTTTACTAAGTTGATTGTTTTGTTTGTCCACTTCAGTTACCCTTCAGTGAAATTCCCGTCAAAATCGGCCTATCGGTTTCGGAGTTTTCCCGAAACACACAAGGCTTATGGACAGACAAACAGATAAGAATTTTTAAACTGCGATTATAGTTATTAGCAACAAAAATAGTTTCGCGAAATCTAGATTTTTAGTCTATATCACATACAGATACTCTAATTTTATATGTATAGATTATATACAAATACTTCAATTTAAGTAACTGTACAAAGTATTGATTTTTATTTAATTATTGATTTGATTTATTCACTTATATGTGTATTTTTAGACATTAATATAATTGAAACAGCATAATAAACTTTTTTAACTCAGACCACTAACTCCCGCCAAAATGGCGGGCTATTCCTACATCTGAATTACATTGACAGCTGTCAGATAGTGACGGGGAACGGCAAGTATGGCACTGGAGGCGCGCAACACTAGATGTGTTGCGCGCCTCCAGTGCCATACTGATTTTATTATGAAATAATAAAATAATAATAAATTGTTTATTACTTTAACAAATACACTTTTACAGGTATCCGTTGCTGGGACATTCTTATAAGTAAAATAATTACTTGTATCAGAATGTCCCATTGTTCCATAGCATACATTAAATTTTTATATGTAATAATTATACATTTTAAGAATTTTTATATTTTGTTAGTGTGCTTCTTTGTTGCATTTTGTATGTCTTTGTGTGTAACATTATGTAATGTCACTGTTATTTGATTACACACCTGATAAGACATCTCCTGTACAAGAGTGCTGCGATGCTGGCGAGGTGTGGCAGCGCATGGCGCGCGCGCCCCGCAGCCCCCAGCGCCGCCTGCACGCCGCGCACCGCCCACTGCTGCAAGTCGCGTCGACAACGCAGCTGGTTGCGCTGCTCCACTGACGACCACGACACCTCCTCACTGACAATATTTCACATGGATAGCACATGCAACAGATGGCAGTGCATACAATGTGAACCAAATATAATTTTGTAGAAATGACAAACTAGGTCTAGTCACCCCTAACTTAGGGTAGGCTTCAAGTAACTTAGTGGGGACGAATAGCAGTTGGTGATAATAATTGCAATTACATAAGTCGCTTGCCAGAAATATATACTATATTACTATATTACTATATATCTATACTATTATAATAAAGCGTAAACGCACACTTCTTTGTTGCCTAAGATGTCAGCAGTTACAGCATATTTTTGAATAATCCTTTTTTTAATAAAAAGCCTTACACTTACTTCACGATTTAGGTTATACATTATCACGCTATTAAACTTAGTCGGTAAATAAATTGGATAAAAATCCTAATGTGGCAAAGAGATCATAAGTTGTTGCCAACATTAAGGAAGCAAGATTGCCATGGTTTGTCATGTCATGTCATTTTGACATTTGCAATTGATAATTTGACAAATGTAAACGATAAAATAAAGTTTTCATAATTTTATTCGGATGAAGTCGCACGAGAACAGCTAGTATTGATTAAACATACAATATCTATGATTACCTGTACAATAAGACGAGGATCCTCAAACAAAACTTAAGGTCCCACAGACATGGTAGAGGTTTGAAAGGTCCAGCTCGGTCCTTCACCATATTTGACAGCTTATTTGGACCTTTGGCTTTATCCTTTTGTGTTTTTTGACTCTTCTGAGATTTTGCGGTTTCTCCTGTTTCGTTTGCTAATTTGGCATTCTTTTTAGCTTGTTTAGATGGTGTCTGAAAAAAAAAATATCAACGTAAAATACGTAAATATATACAAAACTTTATACTATCCGTGCACAATAACATGGCGCTTACTGTCGAAAACTTATACGAATTAAAATTGTTAGTAACTTAAACTTCTGGACAACTTACAATCTGACAGACGTCATAATGGAATTTTTGAAAAGCGTGATTTTATCTATCTATGGCTACAATCCTTTTCACTCAAACTTTGACCACACTGTGGTTTTTATAAGGCTTTATTTGTCTGTATTTATAAACGCGTTTTGTTTAATATGTTATTTTACATTAAATAAATAGTCATACTAATATTATAAATGCGAAAGTTTAAATGGATGGATGTTTGTTAGAGTTGTAGCCTAAACGGATGTACGCATTTCGATGAAATTTGGTACAGATGTAGAGGATAGTTTGGAATAACACATACTGACTTTTGTTTTTTTTAATACCGCGCTGACGGAGTCGTGGGCGAAAGCTAGTGAAAAAATAAATTATAATATATCTTAGGTTTAGGTATTTTTAAGGCATTGTCCTACTTAGCTATGGCCATGCTCGGAGCCCAACAATGGCAACTATTAGTTAGTAATAATTTGTACATGAATACCTTTGTCTGGTCCATGAGTTTTGAGCTGGCCTTGAATATATTGTATATTAAGGCGGGGGCGCTTCTAGTAGTGGGGTTCCACTGCATCACGAGGTGTGCGACGAGCGCCTCCTGGCACGCCAGCGCCTGTTGCACCTTCATACTCTTCGCCATACTCTCTGGTGTCAAATCTGACACACCTACGTCCTCCTACAAAAAATAATTACTTATGGAAGTAAATATTATAGAGAGGAAAGATTTGTATTTTTGGCTTTGTAAATGTTTTTTGAACTCAAAAACTATGGTATAAAAACAAATATTTTTGATTCATTTACATCAAACAAGCTTTTGCCCGCGACTCCATCTGCGTGGAATGAAAAACAAAACAAAAACAAGTAGCCTATGTTGTTCCAGACATCTACATCTATGCCTAATTTCAGCAGTTTAAGCTACAAACTCTAAACATCCATCCATTTAAACTTTCATATTTATAACATTAGTGTGCAGTATGAGAAACATACCATATCAATATTAACAAGGTTATCAGCAGTGCAGAGTTTCTCCATGATGATGAGGAGTTTACTCTTGAGGTGTGCGCTGGCGGTCTCCTGCTGGGGACTGGACAGAATGTAATCCAGGTCCTCCTCCACCGGCTGCAGGAACTGCGCCACCAGGTATAGCAAGCGGGATATCGGTTCCTGCAATGTTACAAATATCAGTAAACTCCCCTATAACGCGATATTTTTATCCCTGTATAACGGTGAAAATTTCCCTTATACGAAAACTTATACGAGGGATTCTTATAACGCCATATTGCTGAATAATCTAATAAATATACAAATGCGAAAGTTTAGATTGATGGATGTTTGTTAGCGTTTGTCAACTACATGACCGAACGGATCTCTATGAAATGTGGCACAGATTTAGAGCATATTCTAAAAAAATACATAAGCTCCTTTTTTTAATTCCACACGGACGGAGTCGCGGAAGAAAGCTAGTATAAAACTAATTTCGCAAATATTAGTGAGTGATGTATAAAAACTGGTTTTAGCGTCACCTGGCCAGGGTTTTTATAATCTTGGTTAGTTTATAATACTTACTAGCTATTGCCCGCGACTCCGTCCGCGTAGAATTAATAAAATACAAAAGTAAATAGCCTATTTGTTTTACCAGACTATGTTCTACATCTATGTCAAATTTCACCCAGATCCGTTTAATCGTTTAGGGTACAAACTAACAAACATCTATCCTTTCGCATTTATAATATTAGTAAGGTTGATCAACAATATGGCGTTATGAATTAACGTTGTAAGCATCCGTCGTATAAGTTTTTCAGAGCCATCTGTCGCGTAATAGGGGGTAATTTCCGCGTTATACGGAGGTACAAAAAAAAATCGCGTATATTCATAATACTAAATATGTTTTAAAATAACACATACAGTGAGTACAGCAGATGTCGCTGTGACTTGTACACAATCATCCAGCAGTATCTCTGCATCATATTCATCTTCTGGCAGGTATTTGCTCAGATGCTCGTACAGAAGCTCCAGCACAGCTTCATGTAGCGCTGGCTTGTCTTTCACACATTCGTACAACTCTGTGAAATATGAGAAAATATACATAGAAAAGTGTCTACACGTAAAAATGAAGGAAATAAATAAAAATCTAGTTGTGGCTCGCGACTTTTTCCACGTGACATTTAATAAATATAGCCTATGTTACTCAATGTTAACATAATTAATGGTGAAAAAAATATTAGTAGTTTTTGAGTTACTCCAATACATATAAAAATGTAAATCTGTGGCGACACTTTCGCACAGAATTGTAAACTAGCGCTATCGGCAGTTACATTTTGAATCTCAATGTAAGCTTGGTAGAACTGTCAGATTGATATCATGGTTTCTCTTTGTTAAAATATTATTCTAGGCTGTAATGTATATTGTACCTTTCTATAATAGTGTGCTCTACAAGAAATCAAGCGTCCTTTATTACGCAAACGTTGGTGACATCGTACCGATGTCCCACAAATCTTTCCTCTTAATAATATTAGTATACATAATCGAAAAACGTTTATCTGTCCGGAAATCTGCGTATGTTCCGGATAATGACCGATTTTGACAGGACTTTGAAAGGAAGGTAGCTGATATATGCGGTATTATAACCTAACTAACTGTTGCCCGCGACTTCGTCCGCGTGGTATTAGAAAACATACGAACTATAAAACAACAAAAAGCTACATATCCCTCGGGAACCGGACGTTTCTCGGGGATGAACCTTATTCCATGTGTACTCCAGACTTTGTTTTATATCTGTGCCAAATTTCAATAAGATATGTTGAACCGTTGCAGAATGATCGAGTAAATATTAAAAAACTGAATTAATGAATCCCACGGGAATTGTAAGTCGACTAAGTTGCGGCCGCTAATAGAAAATAAGTGACAAGTTTTAAGTAACATTTTCAGAGCTACCGTCTCACTTAACGACTATGATAGTGTTTATATCGTCGGGTGAAAGGATATTAGTTTTAACCGCCATTTTAGACGATAATGACTTACATGTAATATATCCAGAATAGGTGATCTCTGCGTCGTTAATAAACAATGAAGTATGCAGAATTATAGTAATTTGAATCTAAAACCCGTCTGAAAATATTTCATTTTAAATTATTTTTAGAATTTATTTTTTTACCTAATGGCGCTTAAAACAAACAGCCTTTCACCCATCGATATTTAAAAAAAACATAAAATACTACTGGCAACTTACCTGTGTAAAATAACTGTTTAACATTCGCGTCTTGCACTAAACAGCGACGCAGTATCGACACCACCTCCATACACATCGCTTCGTTGCGTACGCGTGACGTCACACTACACAGGTTCCAATGGAAAAAGACATAACTGAGAATTGATCAAAATTTCTCACAAGAAATTGTTCACAAGCTAAATTTAGTAGCAAATAATCTTACCAATATTATTAAAGCGAAAGTTTAGATGGATGGATGGATTTTTGTTAGAGTTTGTAGTCTAAACTGGTGAACGGATCTGGAGGGAATTTGGTATAGATGTAGAGGATATACTGGAAGAATACATAGGCTACTCACAATTTTTTTTTATTCCACGGGGACGGATTCAGGGGCGAAAGCTAGTATATGATATAACAAAGTTTAACAGATTAATAATAGTAATGAATACTCATGTATGTACTTTTAAGATTATTAGTTTATCTGAAACCGTCTGATATCTTTCACTTAAAGGTTCTTCACTGAATCTCTAAGTGTCCCTTTAATGGACATTTAGTATGATAAGTATACACTAAAGGGGCAATTAGTGGTCAATGTGAGTGTAGAGTACGTACGCGCCGTTCTGCGTGGCGTGCACGTCGACTGTGAGCTGCGTGAGGTAGGAGTGCGCGCTGAGCTGGTCTCCGGAGCCCTGGCTGGCGGGCAGCGCGCACAGCTTGATGTGGCGCAGCACCGTCAGGAACCCCGACACCGACAGGCAGCGGTGCAGCGACTCCCTACAAACTGTCACTTGTTATCGGCTCCCATGTAAACTAACGTAACCCACTATTTTCTCATTTTTTCCTAACTTTGTATTTCTTTTTTATATATTTTTTTATTTAATAAATAGATTAGAAATATGTTCTGACTGCGGCGATATTTGTGTTATCAAATCTTGTCATCAAATTCTATTGGCAAAAA